TATTCACCAAGCTCACGCTATAGAAAATCCTGATCTTACTACCTACAGGTAGTAGGTGTTCTTTGTTTATACACAGTGCATCCAACAAGTGGCCAATCTGAATATATTTCTCAGGCCTGACAAGATCCACGCTGTGAAAGGTGCGCGTTTTCCAGCTGACTATTGAATTGAGCAGTATGGCTACTCCTGGAAAGTCCGACTACTGTCCTGACTATTCGTCACTCTCTAAAGTCATTGAACCATGTGTTTGAACTTTAACCGGACGGTTAGACAAGTACATTGCACTTACCTGAAGCTCTCCCATGCACAATGCTTTTTTCTCACCTAAGATTAGACAGCTGTGTCATGTGACCTGCTGGTCGAGGGTGCGCCCATATCCCAACGCTGGCTCCACTAGTTGCTAACACGACTCGAGTCAGCTTGTTTGACGATCTCAAGACGAACATGCAGACCGTGCGAAACAGTGTTATGGTCCGTGTGAGGCAAACATTGATAAAAACGAGTCTGGCGTGGGATACCGACGCTCATCGAGTTGATGCACAGAAGCTTTGATTTTAAATCAGGAGACATAAGCTAGGTCTGAATCACTGAAACAGCTCAGATAAGCTGTAATTTCTGAAGATGCATTTTTCACGCACTGGCAACAGAACTATTTCATCATCCTGGTTAGGCTTGATATATATAACTTAAGGAGGACACTCAAAACTCACCTCTCACGACTTTCCTCTGTAGAAATCAAAGAAATACCTTCCCCTGTACGACCTTCTTACTAAGATTTCAGGAACTCTTCTGGGATATCTGAATCTCACACAGGTTGGATATAGCACCTTTCGGATGAATGCGGGAGTAAATTATACAAACTGGTTAGGTGGAGATGAACTAGATGGCACTATTGTGGATGCAAGCGAAAATTCTTCGGGATTTCCACACGACTGCTAACGAATTGATTTATATAATGAGGTCATATTGTCTTCACATTCATTTCAAACTAAACTCAGAGACTCTTCAGGCCAGTTTACCAAGTAAAAAGACTTAAGCAGTTCTGCAGACATCAAATCTGGACGAACAATATATTCACTGGCCAAGTGCGGAAACTCCGAAGCTCTTTCGCTACAGGTAACCAGAGAAAGCAAAAAACGATGTTGTCCTAATGGGGTTTCGCGTATCCAAGTGTAAACATGAAATTCTGTTTTATCAAACATAGGAAGAATGTGTTATACAAAATAACATTTCTGAGGAAAAATTCCACATTTATTTATGTGTTACTCTAGTCTGGTAAAACCAAGTGCTCTTTACGGATGATATGGAAAACAAACAAACCTACTATTATCATGTATTAATTGATAAAGCGAGAGTGACCCCAGTTCCTGTAGGATTCCTATAGGTCAAAGAGCTGCATCACTTAAACACCGTTGACAAAAATGGATGCGCTGTAAATGAACTCACAACAACTGGAGCATCGTCTTGCGTAGATCGAGTAGGCAAGCTTCTCAGTGAATGCTTGAGGATTATGTGTCATTGCATAGTAACCGGCCGGTGTCCCAACTTTTTTCAGGAAGAACATGTACTTGGAATTTTTATAAAATGCATCCAAACAACCAGGTTGATTAACAGGCTTGCCGGTGGGAATAAAAAACGTTCCAATCGTGATTAAATCCTCCACAAATGTATCATTTTTGTACACGGCGGTGACCAAAATAGTAGCATTGAATTTCTGGTCAGCTGCAGTAGAATATCCATCACGAACTTGCAGGCGTGTTCTACCGAATCTTTGTCGAAACCTGCCAGCCAAAATAATACTGCTGGTCTCAACTATCGACTGTAGTGGTTCACTGAAAGTTGAACAGAGAGTTTTGGCCCCGAGGGCCTTTTCCTGTACCTCACCGCGGTCAAATTTGTTACCCCCAACCAAAGGATTCAGGTAAGTCAGAACGATTAGAACCGCAATCGTGTAGAGCGCAAGGCGCACGAACATCCGAATCAAATCCTCGAGTTTGTCGTCTATCGGATGAAAGTAACAGCAAATTCTTCTATTCTGATTCTCTTTATTCTTTAAAAATAACTTCGGCACAGTATCTGTCATTTTAATATTACGCGCCGATGGAACAGGTGACACTCATGCATCTGTCCTTGTCAGCCTATCCAATCAGACAGTGGGAATGCGAGAGATCACGAATGCTGCCGTGCGGATTACTTCTTGATGGCACTGATACGCCGGGTGCTTCTTCTACAGACTCTAATAAAGCGGAATGTGTTGCAGATGACCGTACTGCATTCCTATCTATTTTGAGCACTGCGGCGTGTCTGCTTGTGAAAGGAATTGATTTAGAACATGTGACCTTTGAAGTGTGGAGCCGTATGAGTAACCGACCCACACTTGTAGTGTTTGCCGAATTAGATACTGAGTGCAAGCTCACGTAAAACAAATTGTTGTGGGCGGCTCAGAACTCCATTTGCTGATGAACAGGCACTGTGAATTTTTATAAAAGAAAAAAAACATAAATCGATTAGATTGTGGATCACATTAACGCCAACGCAAGTAGCATGTGATTCTGATTAGTAGCTGTATTTTTGGTCGAATAGTGGACGTAAGAATGAAAAGAACAGTTCTATCAGAGAGACCTGATTTGGAGTCAGTCTTTTAGAGAACAAGTTTCAAGTGAGGCCACCTTTTGGTCACCTTTGAAGGGAAAACAGCTTCTCTGAAGATACCACCACCGAGAAGACGTCAATTTTGTTTATTTAATCTTCATACTGGGGACGAACGACTAGCGGAAATGGAAGTAAATAAACCGTTCCCTCCGGCCTAATTGAAAATAAGTACGTTGTGTGAAACTGTTTGGAGTCCGCAAACTAGAAGGCTTAATTGTTTTAACATGCTTAAGCCATTAAAACAGATGAATGGTGTGCCTTAATTCACATATCGGACACGTTTAACCGATGTCAGACCTTCAGTAAGGGATCATACTTAAAGTGAATCTGTGACATTTTATTTCCTGAGCAGGATTTTCGTAAATACTGTCAATCACACAAGTCCCAACAATGTGGCGAGGTCCCACAAAAACTGTTGAGGAATTTCTGTGTCATTTGGACTATAGGCTCCTAGTTTTGCATTCTGATTACAGCCGACAACATGAGTTGTGTCCGTCCAATGGTTAATTCAACCAGCTTTACACAAGCTCCTTGTGTGAACCTCGGTGACACGGTGTTCAGCCACTTGCCCTTTTGTAAGTACTCACAGTCAACAGCTATTTTAAACATCTTATTCAAAACCAAGCGTTTCGACTGTCTATCAGAACACTGCACACGCCATTGAGGTGAAACAGTTAAATTCGTTCATCATACAACTGACGAGATCTGTAGGCAAAATTTGTGGGGTTTGCGGCGTCCTCATCCATATTTATTAATTATCGTATTCTTTATATGCAGTTAAATATAGTAACAAGATATTGCTGAACGACACATTGTTTCGTATAAGACATTTAAATAAACTGAGTAAAAACGGACACAAATTTCATCAACCGTACCCATTGTAAAAGGTACCAGGCAAGTGAATAACATGTTAGTTAGTCAGCCCAAGAACCATAGCATCTAAAAAGAGCTAATGCGACTATCCATCGCCACTCATCTAACTGCTCTAGGCGAAATTTTAGATCAGAATCGACTTTTCCTGTTCAAGAGGGTAGGTGTTTCTTGGTCGCACGGAGTGAATTTTATCATTTGACTAAATTCAGTCTATGTTTAATAGTCCAGATGCACAGTATGGTTGTTCCATTCCCGCTGGATATAAAAAAAATGTAGAACTCACTAGTTTTGTTCGGTTAAGAGTAACTGATGAAAATGTGATCAGCTCGCATTTGAACAGGATACAGTCGTGCTCCATTAGCACCTCTGGATAAGTAAAGACAGAAATATTATAGAGTGGAATAGTTTCACAAAGTTTTACGGACATTCATTGGAAACAGAGATTAGCAACCAAGGGATCTAAACCGGTGATAAATATTGTCTCGCAGACAATGAAGCCTATTTGAAATTTCATGCCATGTTGGTACAGTGATTCGAACAAAGGTTGGTGGCGATATTTCTGACACGGTTGAGACTAGTTTCCATCTAGTCGGCTAGTTAGCTGAACAGTAAATTCTGGATACAGGGGGTCGATTTTAATGGTTTACCTGTCTTGGGAAGTTTTAGCACTGGTCAGCTTGTAGTTGTTGCCCCAGGTGCTTTAAACGGAGTGTGTGGTGTGATTGTATACGACACGATCACAAGTGGTACGATTTCTCGTGCAACGAGGAAACGAGTTGTTCATCTGGACCGTTAAAGTTTTGAAACTGAACCTACATCTGGCCCACAATGGCATTCTGAACTTCATCCCTGAAAGTAAAGCTTTTACTTTCCATGCTCTATGTGTTTGATTAGGTGTAAATGTGGACGGTTTCGGACATCGAGTTTTAAAAAAAAGGTTTATTCTTGCTGCATATGACGCTGAGTGGATCAGATACCGAATAATATACTCCATGGTTTGTTGGATAATACTGTGCGAAAGCTTCTTTGCACAAGGATCTGTTTGCTGACAAATTCAAATCGAGAAACTGGGACATTCGCCAACCTTTTGTTTGCTTTTTTGGTAAAACTTTCCACTCTGAAAAGTCATGGAGTTAGTACTTGAATTACCGAGGTAACCCAAGAAAATGACTCGCAAACGACCACCTTCAAATGGCAATCTAGTGTGAGGCAAAATTTCACATTCAAATCAGTTCCATAGATAGCTAAGTATTGGCGTCTTGGATAATCCTCCGCGAGTCAAACTGAGGGCTCTCAACTGGGAATGTTTTAGTCACTGTGCTTGGGAGCTAATCCACACACAAATATTCCACTGAGCTTGGAAGACACTAAAAAAACGTGCGATCTCTAAAGGCTTACTTAATAGCCATGCTGAACGCTCATGTGTGAGCATAATGATGGAAAATTGGACTCATAATTCTGCCTGATATTATGTTGTAGTGGCTTAATTGAGCTCAAGTAATTGCAGTAGATGCTATTTGGTGCTTATTGGAAACCAATCTTGGTACTTCAATTTCAAGGTCATTTTGTGCGTGCTTAAAGCAGATCGAACCTAAGCCTACGATTACGCAGTGGGCAACAATGGTTCTTTGAGAAAGATTGCTTTTCGCATGGGGCTTGCTTCCCCGTCTAACCTTAATCAGGGGCAAATTTTACATAACAACCAACATGTTCAAACTTCCCTCTGTCATTTAAGGCCCTACAACAGATGCAGCTACAAAAAACACTGCGTATTCGTTCCAAATTAATTGACGTGTTCACCCTTCTCGTCTTGTCAACACACTCATCCCTGTTCTTTGTTCGAAGGTCTCCACAAATGTCTTACAGAACATTCAAGTGTTAAAATCTATGCTGTTTGGCATTAATACATCGTCATCGGGATGAAATTATCGTCGGGTGAACATTTGCGTTGCCCGTTTGCCTCTTTAAACATTAGTGTGGTGAGTGTTTGGAAGAAAGTGAGCAAACGTGCATGCGCCGCAAAGTTTTCAAATGTCCGAGGAATCAATTCAACAAAATTGTTCTGCCATGTACAAACGATCAGATTGGAGACCTTCATCATCAGGGTGTCCGAAGTTCTTCGTGAGCAGCTTCTCCTGCCTATTCCTTCTTTGATTTTCCTTGTACCGAAACAAGTAGTTTGTTTAAAGCAAAACTGGAAACCCACTGGTCAGATCTGAAGCGTATTCCCTATCGGTTTATATTGAGGCCAACAACCCTGATCAAATGGGAAAACACGAAATTGTGAAACTGTGATTGGAAGTCTAGGCATTACTGAGGCTTATGGGCGGTGATCATTGCATAATCTATGGTTGGTTACAATAAATGATTCTGCTGGTAAGGAGCACAATAAGGAGTTGAATTTCACAGTGCAATGTATTCAACTGTGAACGGCTTTCCTACAGATTGAAGTAGGTTCGATCATCTATCTAAAAGCCCACGCTCACTTTTGTGTACACATATTCCGATCAGCCGTTTGTACAAACGAACATGGTAGAATTCGTAGCTTGTACAGGCCAAGCTCTTCTGATCAGCTCTGAAATGATAAGAAAAAAAACAGGCTGTAAGAATTCTGAACGATACCGAGAGTTTGTGCCTGCAGAAAGTGGACTGCCAACAGTGTTCAATCAGAAGAGATCGGCCACTGTGCTTCTCTTTCAATTTGAGTCAACAGTCTTAACTAGCTGAATTTTTCTGGAATCCTGTAACCAAATGAGAATATTAGACTCCAAATTCTACCGTCCCATTGACGCTATGCAGCGTTCTCTAAAACACTGTCAGACTGATTGGAAACATATGTGAAAGTGACCAATAAAGACTTTGGATTCCAACACTTCTATGATGATTTTGACCATATTCTACCGTACGTTGATATTTCTCCACCAGGTTTGATGCTTCTTATAGGACCTGCACCTGTTTTAACAATCGGTGCATAACACTGTGCTGCAGGTTGAAGGCAAATTAAGTTATCAGAGAACCCCGTATGACCTGTCCCTTAAACAGCAGTCTCTGATAAGCAGCACATGCTGAATTCAACAAGTTACCAAATAACGGTTTTTCCACCGGAATTACATGATTGCATCAGTATTGGAGGAACTTTAGTGAAGATGAGAGAGGCTCAGAGTTGTTCTATGCAGCTTCGACTTACTGACACTAAGACCTGAACTGGAGAACTAAAACTTGCTAGATGTAGACAGTGATTTTGATAGACAAGTAGTGACCTCCAAAAGCACTGAGGGCATACAATATCAGCCGTGTTACGTTACGGTGTCACGTTTCGACAAAAAAACACAAATATCACTAGGAAAGACACATTGGGAGATTTATCTGCTTTAGCACAGGCAAACCAATTAGACGAACGCAATTAATTCAATGGAAAAACACTACTTTCGCTAACATTCGGTAACCATACTCTACGCCATATGGCATGGGGGCTCACAGGAAACCATAGTCTAGTCAATTGTGGTGACAGTCGTAACGAATCGACATAAACAGCCCTTTCAGAAAAAGCGCAGTACAGCACGGTAGGCAGTCCGTATCCGTAGTACAAGAACAGGGTGAAGAAAACACAGCTTTTCGGAGTATTTCAACGAGCACTCATATGACATCACAACTGAC